AAGCTTGTCATGAGATATGTGAACAGTGAAGGAGAAAACTGTAGTAAAGTAAAAAAATAACCCTTCATTCAGGCTTAGGCTGCAAACCTTACATTGCCTTGTGCTCAGGGTGGCGGTGGCTGTAGACTCAGGGTGCATACGTGAGTGTGTGAGCAGCCTACAGTATGTGTGATGTCAGGACTGAAGGAGAGCTGCAAGCTCAGGGGTTTCCCATTACCCAGAATGCAATATGTTCAGGAGGATGAATTGGTATGGCTGTGAAAACAAGAGAGTCCATCAGGGGGATGCTGACAGATGGACTGAGGATCACAACCATGCACTGCTCCACTTCTAGTTGATTTGGGGTACGATCATTTTTTCCTGTTTATTCTCCCAAACGAACCTCCATGGGTGTGCAACGTGATCCTAAGGAAATTAACATGTAAAGTGTGAGGAACCTTTTAAAGAGAGCTGCACAGCATGAAGCATAACAACACTAGATGTAGAGAGCACAATGGAAGGAATTTGAAATTGGAAAAGACAACAGGAAAGGTGGTGTCAGGCTCCAGATCTCCACTTTGAACATTTACAGAAAATAGTCACACTATTGCCAAAAACTGTAAGTAACAGCTAAACATCTGCTCACAGACACACACCTACAAAGAGTCAAAAGGATCTGCATATTCCAACAATGCACTAAAACTCTCTCTCTGTTAAGTGGACTGTTTGAACCATGCAATAAAAATAGTCTACACAGTATCTGTTCTGGAATAAGACTAACTAGCAATACATCTTTCTATCCATAATCCATCCATCCATCCATCATCCATCCATTAGCTGTTGTTTTTTTTTTCACTGGATAAAACTCTTAACCTTATCTGCAGACAAAATGAAGCATTGATTTATGACCAGATTTCAATTCAGACCCAGGTATTATATTTTCATCTAACACATGAAGACAAGAATATGTATGTGTTTTCTTCAGCTCCAACACCGACCATGAAAGATCCAGGCTGCTCTTGTCTCTTTTTGCACAGTGGTCTTATATGACAATAGAGAATAAGCTTCTCTTTGTTCCATCTCAACAACAAGGTTTGTTTTTATCTAACAAGATCTGAGGAGCTGCACAGCTTCCTTTTGGCAGCTCATCATAAATGACAGCCAAAATGGAGTTTGTCCTCAGGGGCCACATATAGACACACACAGTGAACTATCTTCAGTGTTGCTATTATACAGTAGATTCACACCCACAACAAACACACACAGCTACAAAATGTACTGTATCTACTTCAAGAATGAGGCAAAGATGGAGTAGTGAGAGGCAGGTGTAGGTTAGAAGAGGCGGGTTTGGATAGAAAACAATGTAGACACACTGTACTGCTGCATCACCAGTAACTTCTGTAGACAAATTATTTGAGGCCACTGTTGTATTTGCAAACTCATGAAATAAATTTAATTGGACAGCTGAGTAATAAAAGAGCAACCCACCTCACTATATTTTAAAAAGTGTCCTGAACTTGTTTTTGTCCAAGATGGGGACTGACAGCAGTTGCCTGATCAGCAAAATCAACTTAAAATGACTGATGGCAGTTGCCTTCTGGGCCAGTAAACTGTTGATGGCAATTTGTCTGAGTGGGTGTTTCAATCATCAAAATGTATTTATATATGAAAAAACTTTTGTTTTATGGGAAATATGTACAAAATCTTGCTTTGCAGGTGTAGACGTTTGAGTTTTGTTAAAAACAAATATTGTGAAAATGTAAAGGTTTTTTTTTTTTAACATTCTTACCCTGGAGTGAGAGCACTCAAATTATTCTTTAAAATTGGGACCAAAAAATGGACAACAATTTTTTTCTCTCTCTCTCTTCTTGGTCCAGACTAGTTTTTTGTAGATTAGGTAAAGGTAAGAGGATTAGGTTCCTCTTACTTTATATGTATCCTCTCATTTTTTTGTTTCTTGGTTGAGAACACATTAATAAATAAATAAATCCATTTAAAAAATAATGTTTGTAGTAGAGAACACTTTTACATCCATACATAAGTACATATATAAACAATGTGGCATACATCATTTTGATTTCTGATGATGTTAGTACCCTCCCAGATAGAATCCTACACTATTGGATTCTTTGAAGCCAACTCCACTACAATATAAAAGTTTCCACAACTTCCATGTTCTTAAACTAAATAAAACAGCTTTATGGAATGGTGTTCTTTAATTAACTGTAAGAGCTGCTCCACTTCAGCCTTAATTGATTCTTATTTTCTCACTCGACTGCAAAAAAGGCTTTCTGTCATAGAGGAGGGAACTTTTACAGAAGGGAACATTAGAGAAAGACAATGAACCCAGTGGAAATGGACTGCTGCTGACACAGAGTCCTCCTCCTCTTTTCAGGGCTCAGTTGATCAACCATGTCTTAGACATCACTTTGATGTACAGATCAGAGCAGAGATGTGGAAGGAAAGTCAGCTTTGTTCAGCCTTTTGTAAAGCTTCCCTGAACTAAAACAGAATCAATTTATTTAGGCTGGAATTGAAAGTTTTAATAGTCAAAGTTCAACCAATGGTTGTACAGATTTGTTTCTTCAATTGTAATATAAAGCCTTTGTTATTATTGTTATTAAAGGATCAATTAGTTTTTGATTCACTTTGTCAAGGGGTGGGGGGGGAGGGGGGGTTGCATCAGGGGGTGACTCACATGGACTACAGATGTGGAAGGAAAAACCTGAAATGTTTTTCCCCCATTATGTAAGTAAGTTCTCTCAATACTCAATCAAAGAAACCAAACAAATATTTTAATGAAAGTCCTGCTGTAAAGAAATTTGTACGATTGCATCAGATGCAATCAGATGCTGGTTGTTGGCCACATTTATTGGTAATGAGGATATGAAGACAACTGTCTGTATGACTATTGACCAACTTATTTCAATTTTCACTCCAACTCCTCTAAAATGCAAATGTGACAGTGTGTGCTGCAAAGCAATTTCTGCTGTTGCTGTTTTTAAGGATTTTGTAGACTGTATCGTTATTAATTCAAACTTGTGCTTTTAGTGAATCAAGACTTCATTTTCTGCCCCAACAACCTCTCTTATTTGACAGTTAAGCTCTTCCATTTACATACATGACAAAGGACTACCAAATAATTTTAAATTTGAATCTATCTTGGACAAGAATACAAAAAGAACATGTACATCTGACAACCCTGAAGGATTGGACTTGCCCTGCTAAATAATAATTACCTCAAAATTCTGTATATCCACATTTCTACTCTCCCCTTTAATGAGCTGACTGGACACCCTCTGGACAGGACAGGTGAGCTCTGGCCCTGACTGATTTTTATTCCAGTGGACAGGTCAGGCCAGACACTGTAGGGAGAGCAGAAAGATCTGCTTATCTCAGCGACTACCGCAACCAGTAGTCAGAACAAAACTGTTTTTGTTTCTTTATATCTGACCAAGTCTTTTCGAACACAAGGAGAATCCTGATCAAATAATGATCTTCAACATGTACCTGAAAGTTCCTGATTTGTAAATTCCAAGAAGAGTTAGAAATTACAAATCCTGAAGAAAAGTCCATTGCTACTACTTTTATTATTGGGAAATCAATACACACGTATCAATATTTTCTATTACTCATCTGATTTCTTATATCAAACAAGATAATAAAAGCATCATATACCTGTACTAAAACATTTAACATCTAAAGTCTTTTTATGAGATCTACAAAAAAAAGTTATTATCCTTTTAGTAATGGACTGGCCAACTCCAAGATCTAAATAACTCTACAGTAAATTCAAGGCTATTATTTATCACCAGCCTGGTTCACCATCAGTAATGAATCAGGTCAGATCCACTGTCCATAGGTATTTTGGACAGCTGATTTATTTCAGTAATTTATAAATAAAATGTTAGTGACTATAACTGAAAGTCAGAATAGGCTGAACAACTGCATCCATTAGCAACTTCACACACTTATTATTATATACAATATTATATTATACAATATTTTGACTTTTCACACTCCAAATACAGAATCTTAGACAATTATTTAAAAACCTGTTAATCAATTCATAACAGAGCCACAACCCTGCTTTTATATCATGCGGTCTTGATTAATTCATAAATTTACCATTCACTGATCTTTCACCACCACCACATAATGATTCCCTCCACAATTAGTAGCTACAATACTGCAGGGACTTCTCTATATCTCCTCCACCCTTTAAATTTGATTAATTACCTCAAACAATGACACATCCACATAATAAAGAAAAATCTGCTGATGACAAACCTTTTTAATATCACATATAGCCCTGCAAATTAATATAGGCTACATGTATTCAGGCACATAGTAAATCCACAGCTATTTGCTATTTATTTTCCTATATTTGTAGAGTGTCTTTGAGTCTGGTGTGAAGTGCTTCATGAAGAAAATTATTATTATTGCTATCACTTAAACAGAGACAGTCTGTGTACATGTACTTCCTTTTTACAGGATACATTTACTATGGCACAAAAATAACAGACAGGCAAAACACAGTAGCACCAGTTGCTTTAGCTGTGAACGTACGTTGATGTTCCATCTTAAATTGAAGCTAATGCGCTCATGCATAAATGCACAGGAAGTACGCTGCATCATTCATCGTAACGCTGTCTTACTTCATACATTATTGTGTGTGTGCTGAGCTGTGAAGATAGCAACACAGAGAAACTTAGAGGGAGGTATGCATGAGAAACTATATGAGTACAAGGTGACGGGGAAAAAAGCAGAGGATAAGATAGCAGAGATGAGAAAAGAGGCTCGTAAATGTGTGTGTGTGTGTGTGTGTGTGTGTGTGTGTGAGTTTGTCTGTGTGTGTGGGAGGCAAGAAAAAATAAAAGGCAGCGTTTGATCCTCAGGAAGCAATGGATTTCAACCAAACCATATGATGCATGATAAAATAACACAAACACCAAAAATGGGTTTCTCACAAACAGACAAGGATATCAAAAAAGCTTTAAATCAGATTGTTAAACCCTTACCTGTTCGATCTCGAATGGCCAGGTTGTTCCCTTTCTTAAGGACAATGTCCAGCTGATACATGGCAGGACTTGGAGGACGAGGTGGGGGCTCCGCATTACTGGGACCCACTATGCTGATGCCCTGTACAGAGAGATGAGAAGGTTGTTGATTTATGTCGTCCACCTCATTATCTTTTTTTATGACTATGGCGAGAGTGTACAATAAAAATATAAAGATACCTCTTCATGTGTTGAGAATTAGGACATATTTCATAAGCCATGAAGTACAGTCGTCAAAAAATTTGATTAAGTTTCATTTGCATAACTTGTCAAAGTCAACAGTTATTTTTTTCCAAACCATTTTTATTCAAAATTCATAAAGATTTATTTGCAGCAGCATCAGTTATATTCTTCACCTGAGTAGGTTTGTGTAGAAATGTTACAAGGCTTTTTTTTTACATGTAGTATTTTAAGTGCTACAAAAAAGTTTGGACACTTCAGTCTCAGCGACTGCACATAATATGGACAGACTTATTGCCTTTGTAGGCTGTGGTTGTTAAATGAGGCTCAATATGAAGAGTGTGTGTTACTGTGCCTCGAAGATAAGGTGAGAGTAAATGAGCCTACAAGAATAGTTAATGTTCATTAACTATTTAATTGCAGTGGTAACTGATGCATGTCTTCCTCCATGCAGAGTGTATGAGCCTACTTATTAATACTACTTATTCTCCTGCCACAGCCCAAACACATACAGTGTACATATAGAGTGTGTTTTTTTTCTCCATATCTTATCTATATTTTTTTTGTCTCAACAACATATACATATACGTATGCATTTTACATGATACAGGGAAACAGCTAACAAAAATGGAAGCTTGGGGAGTAAGGAATTACTGTTGGAGGTTTCCAGAGTGTCAAACTTTTTGAAGGTTAATCTACTGTAAATTCCAGCCTATGAGTCACCCTGAGGTCAATGTTGGGCTTTTTTTTTTGACTGGGGAACTCCACTGGCTTAGGTTCCCAATGCAGTCAGAAGCCCTCCATTCTGTCATTTAGATTAGTCAAGCAAACAACATGAAGCTGCTGTTATTTGTTTTTCTGTTAGAGCAATATAAAAAATTTTTTTTTTTTCTTCTACTATCTATCTTAGGAAAGTCGATTTAACACCATTAATCGTGTTTAACGTGAATTAATCCACAAATAACCTGTGATTAATCAGATTAAAATGTTTGACTGCCCTAATAAAAATGAGGCATTTTGTAGGTTTTTTCATCATTTTAGATGGAACATAAGAACATAACATAAATACATTATAATGCTTAATAAGCAAGTTATACTATATACATATTGAACACTTCTGTAATCACTTATTTGACAAACACGTACCAATTATTATAACAAACAATTTATTATTATTTATCAATAAAGTATTTGTTGGACATGGTCTCCTTTGTTAAAAACAAAATCTAGTCACAGACAGAAAAGGTCAAACTTCTGCAAGTAGAAGCTGATTTAGGTCTTAGAGAATAAGCGGTGCCTCCTGCATGACTCAGGATTAAGATGGATTTGTACAGAAAACAGACTGCATGAAAAAACAAAAGTACAAATGATTGGATCAATGAAGTCAGCTGGGGGAGGCTTAAACAAGCAGACAGAGACCAAGGCTGTCCACCGCCACATGTCTGAAGACACGACCAGTGAAGGTCACATCTGCACCGAGGAAGTTGCTGACAATCCCTGAGCTCAGAGCAGCACAAATTGGTACTAACATCCAGGAAACATCCACAGTTAAAAGATAATAATAATTACAAATTGGGAATTCTCTGTGCACTGTGGGACGGCAGGTTTAAAAGATAAACTGCTTTAAAACTGTTGTCATTATTAAATAAAAGTGAATGTCAACATCAAAGATGACACATTGAAGGAACAGTGGAGTCATAATGTAACTGAAGTCAGGCATTAACTCTTCATCCATAAAGGAACCGAAGTGAATGATGACCAGTCCACAGACGATAAAACTTTTTGCAAAGAGAACTGATAATTGAATGCTAATAAATGCTTATCCAGATCCAATATTGTTTCTGTTAGGAGTATTAGCGAAATAGCGAGATATGATGCTAATGTGAGACATACGTTTGCTCTACTGAATGCCTAGAAGACCATCAAACCATAGCCCATAATTCAGTGGACTCTGAAGGTTAAACCATGGAACAAATGTCAGAAAACCTACAGTGAAACTAACATTTTTGTACAGCCATGGAACTGTGTTGCATTATACCTGGGACTTTTAAGAAAAGGAGTACTCACACAGAGCTGAACTGTTGCCCTAATACGGTCATTCAACTCAGAATCTACCGAACTGCTTTCTTTAGGAGCATTGTGAGACACATTATTGTCCCAGTTATCTTTCCCACTGCTGTCTGCTTAATACATATGAAGGTCAGGGGATGTATGTGTGTTTAGCTTTCTTAGTTGATCACTTTCTGACCGCAAAAATGTATTGTTTTCTTACCCGTGGACTTGTGCTATTGTGATACACTGCATGCATATCTGTGGCAGGCAGATGAAAAAACAAACAGTAACTTTAAATCCAACACCACATGGCAGTGAGCCAATGACATTTGGCCAGTGGAGCACTTGGGAATAATCCCCAGAGAACCTGAAGGATGCAGAGTGTTTGGGCCTTTTAGATACAAGCCTTCACCATTTTACAGAAAACCCTTTATCAAATCCCCAATGAATTCATTCAAATATGAATCAATACCAATTTCCTTTTCCATTAACTACTTCAAATTTTAATGGGACAAATACGCGGTGTGTGCATATGTGTGTTTTTTCATGTTTCGGTGGATGACTGATGCACCGGAGAAGGTCTTTAGCAGGAAATCTGAGTCTTCATCAATAAATGAAAGTGACGACGATGGTGATGCACTGTGTATTATGCTTGCAAAACGACGGTAAATATTGACTATTCACAGCAACCCATCTACGCCTGGCACGATTGGAGTAGTATCTGTAGTTGAAGTAAGTGGACGAGGCTCCGGAGGGTGAACAGCACATTATGAGGATATACAACTGTGGGCTTCAGTTCTGCTCAGAGACAGATTAGTGCGGCTCACTTCTATTGACCGACACAAACCTCAATTATAGTTCCAATGTGTACTACAATGCACACACACACACTGACAGACTCACAAACATACAGTACAGGATGTCTGGACAGTAAGTAACCTCAACTGTTTTCCTGATCAACCTTTACTGGACATCTTTAGAGATAACTGGTGTTAGAATGAATGACAAAAGCTTCTGTTTATGAACCAAACCTCACAAACAGTGAAATGATCACAACTGTAATTGACTGTTCAAATTGTTATCAACAACTATAACACTATATTATTCCTATCCTTCAACTTAGGTTTTAGATTTTATTTTTTTACTAAAAAGGACAGACAAACAATGCAGTCCTTAAGACAAGTGAGCACAGTGTAATTATTTTGTTGATTTTACTGTTTTTTTACGGTTATTGTTATGGCAGCCTGTACAGTCTGAGTTGCTTAAGAATTGGCTTTGTCAATGTACTCAGAACTTACTCAACATGAATTTGAACTGATTTACTCTCCTTGAAGAAAGACACATGCAAAGATCTTCAACAGCTCTAAGTCTCTCTTTTGTTAGTTTTTATAGCCACCTGCTAAAATAAAGTACACTTCCACCATGTGGAAAAAATAGACGTATATCATTTGTCTATCACTTGAATATAATTGTTAGCAGTGAATAAATAACAATTTTCAGGTCAAATAAGTGAAATTCTATACTCCTCCATGGTACATCTGATTATATCTCACTGCACACTAATGTGTCACTGGGAATCACTACTGGATGTAATGAATTTCTGACAGTCGTATTTTTCTCAAGACTCATGTCTTCTGAGACTTCCCTCTCACTGACTAAGGGGCTTGTCAAGCTCCAGGGCGAAAATGTGTCAAAAACAAGACTTTTGGTGAGAAATAATTGATTGCTGACTTTTATATTGACTCATAGGTTTAAATATAAACTGCACTTTTTCAATGTACTGCTGTTTAGTCTTGATAGCAGCATGACCCATGTGAAAAGTATCACAACATTCAATAAGAACAAAAATCCAGGTATAAAGTCTTCAAACTACAATAACCACAGCCAAACTGTTCTTATTCACGGTTTTACATTCTGACAGCAGTGTTATAATGGCAGGAGCCTGAGTTTAGCCCTGGGTCCTGTGTGACTCCTTTTTCACAGTAATGGCAGGTAATTTCCTGCCTCTATTTTTCTATTAAACACATCATAATTGAATTGTTTGATGAAATGCTGGTGTGGAGCAGGATAAAGAGGTGACATAAGTTGAATAAATCAAAATGGAACATCAATTTTAAAAAAGAAAAAATAATAAACAGCAAAAAATAAACATGAGTTTAACTTTTTACTCTGAAGTACGAATACAATTTTGTATCGGTTTAACAAACATAATTAATTAAGAAATGTACTCACAAAAACAATCACCAATGTCTGATCAGTGTTGCTTCCAGTCAGTTTTGTTATATTTCACAGGCAAGTAAACTAATTAAATTATTTCTTTTTAATGGTTTCTTTATTTTTTCATTACCAGATGCCATGCTTCCTGTGAAATCCTGCCCCTGGAGAGGAAATGCTTTCATCCATTCAACAATTATTTCAAAGCTTCTCAGATAAAAAAGTGTAGATCCAGCACTTTACTATATAAACAGCTACACACAGATTTATATATGTGAGATAACACATTTATGGGTAAAGTGGGTGATGTTTACACACCTTGGTCCATGTATCATCATGTGATTGAAATTATGTTAAGTTATTGACATTGTTAGGCTAACTGTTAAAAAATGACAACAGGAAAATTCTATTGTGGAAAAACATCACAGTTTTATTAAGTAAAATATCCAAAATACAGGTTCTGTTAGGCAACTGGATGTGAATTTTCTAAAAGAAGACACTTCCAAGAAGCTCCTTCAGTTTTAACTGGTGGTGGGGAGTACAGCAAATATATACTCTGGGTGTGAAAGAATAAAGATACTTCAGTTCCACCCTGTTGGGTGGGGCGTTGTGGTCCTCATCTGAAAGGTTTCGGTC